AGAAACAAAGCAATTGCCCCATTTTCTCCCCTCGTTGTTAAAGAGCAACATAATAATAAACTAATTGGTAGAACACATAAAAGAACCACAGAAACCAATAAAAAGTATTTAAAAATTCGTAAAAGTAACACCTTGTTGCAGGATTCTGCTACTGGTGGCGCCTCTATCCCTCTGCCTGCACCATAAAATTTATTATTTATCTAATGCCCTTCACGACCTCGCCCTTTAAAATCTAAAAAGTTTACTTAATAAATTGTTACGAAATCGACCAAAACGAGGTTTAATCAATGCTCTTGGTTCAACCGTTAAATTTATCACTGGCAATTTAGATCAATCGGATCTGGATTTAATCAATAGAAAATTTGAAAATTTGACAGATGCTCACGATCACAATCATAACGTAAATAAACTAATAATTTTTTGTAAAAAAACAAACAATAAAATAATAACAACATTTAATAAAATTTATAAAGACATTTCCCATAAATATCGACACGATTTTGACAAACTTTCAAAAACACTACTTTTAATCTAAAATTATAATAATTTTCAAAATTTTGTTGAAATGCTTTTTAGAACAATTTTATTCTCACTGTTGGGATATTCTAATGTAAAAATGTTTTAGCGAAATCATCCATAGATTTATCCTTATGAATTAATAGAGCGATCAAAAACAGTTGTTATTATTTCTGATCAATTAATTTCAATAATTTTAAAAGTTCCGATCTTATTCAAAGAAAAATTTTTACTATACAAAATCCTATTCTTTCCTTCCACTGACGACATAATGATTATTCCACCTTCAAACTACTATTCTAATGGAAAATAATTTAAAAATTGTCATCACCCGATCAGATATCAACTGTTGGAATACAAATCAACCACCATCCAAGAAATATGTACAGGACACACCATTGTTCCCGAATGCAGATCCATAGTTGTGTCAAGCCCCTGTGACGTAACCATCTATGAAGAAAAATACTTCATCAACAGCACTAAAGTATCGCTTAAGATACGCCTCATCCATCTTCTGTTCCACCAGAGACCTACCCTATATTATACCTGGGTCAGTCCATATCAAATCAACCAAAGGTTTTTCCCTCACCATCTCCGATTTTGATAATTTTTGGTAAATTTGTTTACCTCACTAAAAAACTCAAAAATCCCAAATTTGAATTTTTTTCGATAGGTGGTTTTTGTTTTATTGATTTTTGAAAATCAAAAAAATATCGATTTGGGTCTTGCAAGTACTTACAAAAATAGCGATATCTCGTAAACTATTAATAGTAGAAAGGTGAGTGAGGGCTTATTTTAAAGGCCTATTAGATACCTTTTTTTTTGATATATCACATGACCTAAATTTCTTTCAAAAAAAAATTTTAAATTTCGAAAAAAAATTTTTTTTTTAAATCTTAAAAATACCTTTTTTTAATTTTTTCAAAAAAATATATATTGTGCATATTTTGATAAGCTACGTACAAAATTTCAAGATGGACACTCAACGGGTTCATGGTGAAAAAAATTACTCACTAACATACAAAATAATATTTATGGGTCATTTTACTACAAATAGTTGATGAGTTTGATTTTGTACCTTTGATTTTTTTACTTTTTTGCAGCCGCACGGTGGGCTGGGATACAAATCTCTGGACAAAATTAGTTACTCCCTCAAAAATTAGCAAAGCCATATTAACCGCATATTTAACTTAAATAAAAATAAAAAATATTTGTTATATATTTTTGTGCACATCGTGATAAGCTATGTATTAAATTTTAATATTGACACTTGTAATCTTAAAAAAAAATTAAAATGTGCATGCACACATCTAAATTAAATGCAAAAATATATTTCTCCCCTGCGGTCTCTACATACAAAGTTGTAGCCCACCATGATCTTCCATCATTTGATAAACATTTTTTAAATTCTGGTTAAATTACCCCTAATTTGATTGCCACAAGCCATGTTCATATTATATTTAAAACTTTATACAAATAAGAACATACATTAAGTGGCCTTTGACTTTAGTAGCTATGGTTGCCATAATAATCAACAAATAAATTTGACATATGTCAAATTTAGTTGTTGACTAACTGGTTACAATCTATAAATCTTTTTTTTGCTTACTGAACCTATTTTAACAAAATGAAGCAAAGTAATTGGAATTGGAGTAATTGTTGTAATCCTTTGGATTTAAGATTAAAACATTCCCCTAATTTAAGAATTGTAACGGAATGGATGTGTAAAAACTTAAAAAAAATTGAGAAGGAAATGAAAATTTGTGATAACTGTAGGATAAAAGTGTCTAGAGAGTTAAAGGCCTTTGAAGTGCAACCTGGGTAAGTAAAATCTATTTAAATTAAAAAATAGTTACCACAGTTACTATTTATTTTTTAAATTAAAACATGACTTAATCTCTAAAGGACCTAATGATATATATGATATACTTTTTCTATGATGATATTAATAAAAAATTTATAAAAAGTTTTTTTCTTTTGGACCATCAACCTTAACGAAAGAACAAAATACAGATTTTATACAGCACATACATTCATTAAGTTCTTTCAATGAATCTTTGGAACTTCTAGGAGTGTCACCAATTAAAAGGAAAAAGTTGTCAAAGGAAAAAGTTAAAAAAGTAAAAAACATTATTTCAACAACATTTTTAAAAGAACAAGCTCAAAGTTCACAAGAAGAGGACAATTATGAACATGAATGTGAGATGATCAAACAATTAAAAGAAAAAAGTTTGCAAAAACTAACAAAAGAAGTGAAAAAATTATAAATTAAATTTATTTTTGGACAATAACAATAAACCTCTAGGGAGGGATTATCGCGATTTTCTTTACAAAATAATATATAATCCACCGGCAGTCGACTGTTTTTTAAATAAATGTGAGCTATGTCCTGGAATAGGCCCTCTTAAAAGTTTTCTAGAAGAAAAATTTGAAGAAGAACTTATCGACAGTATAACATATAAAAAATGGGTGTCAGTTGATAGGTGCACAATGGGAACCATTGTTAAAAACACCGATGACTTTTTGAAGTCACACGCGTTTATTGCCTTTATGCAAAAGGAACATTACAACGATATCAAAAAACATCTTAAACAAGGAGAGATACTAATAACCTGCGATTTTGCCGAAAATTACAGTTTTGTCATGCAGGACGAAGTACAGTCCTATCATTGGAATAATGCCCAAGCAACAATTCATCCTTTTGTTATATATTTTAAACAAGAGGAAACTCTTCAAAATCTTAACTATGTATTCTGGTGGTTTAAAGGACTATAGTGCAAAAATTAAACTTTTAATTTTATTTGATCTCATCCCTCCATTTGGTTACAATATAAAAAAAATGAGTTTACCAAAATTTGAGCAATATCGAATTAAGAGGTCGCGCAGAAGTAATAAAATTAAGCGTAGAGTAGTATGTATGATTTTATATATATATAGCTTGCATTCCAATCTAGGGTTTAGATTTGAATGCAAAACGAATTTAAATGTTCTCAAATAAAACATACAAGCGTTATGTATTAGAAATCAAAAGGTTTTACAATGGTTTTTTTATTACAATCAGGGTATCTTTGTCGATGTTCCTGCACAACTTGAAGAAGACATTGCTTTTGTTCTTTATTTTTTGTAATTGTGGAAGAATAGGCTTCAATGAGAGCTACACCCCTCTCCGCATTGTCATTTACCACACGGAGATTTTTTACTATTTCAAGGCCATCCTGATAACTTTTTTGCATTGCCCATTTTTCAGGTTTCATTTGAAGGAATTTCATATCAATTCCTAAATTTCTAAAGAAAAAAACAGTGTTGGTTGTCAGAAGTTCGCTATTGTCATACCATTTATGGGTTTTTGAAAATTTATTATGTTTGCTCTCTTTGAGGGTTCGGCCTCTCCCTGATTCTCGTGTAGAGCAATAACCATTCTCTCTTTTTCTTCTTGTGAAATACCCATATCAGAAAAAGCAAGTGCTACAAGGTGATCGCTAGATACCAAAGATGTCGTTTCCATTTTTCAAGTGCAATCTGAGACACAGTTAAATTTTTTTCTTCATACTCTTTAAGTTGCTTTAAAAGTTTAAGGTAGTTTCTTGGTGCTTGTATAGGTAAAGGAGCACCAAACCAATTTTTTAAATATATCCGGATAATAAAAATGCAAATGTCTTTAAGGGCTTTTTCTTCCTGTAGAGTTAGCTTAAACTGCCCTCGAAACATCCATAACTTAAGGATGTATAGGATCTTAGCCATCTATCTAGCGTGATGCAGAGCTCCTGGACGAAATCGTACACCACGGGGAGGGGTTCCTCCAAGAAAAATTATAAGAAGCTCAAGAATTTCTCTGTAATCCTCACGCGGCTGAATTACCTGCAGAATAAAAGAAAGGTGTTGACTTACTTAAGAATAATTTATTAATGCAATTAAGATAATAAAATAGTCATTAAAACATTAGGTAACTTACCTCAAGTTGTTTCTCTGCAAACTCCAATACACCCTGAATTTTATCCTGGATGGCTGCACACATTTCATTATTTTGTACACCAGGCTCATATTTCGTATGATCAATTTTTGACCAACATTTCTGAAACCGTTTAAATAAAGGTACATCTGGTCCATAAGAAGATCCAGTGCATTTTGTAAATACGGCAGCTAATACAATTTCTAACATATGGTGTCTGCAGGCAAAATGCAAAAGAGTTCTTCCCAACTTTTTCTCAAGCATGAGACAGGCTCCAGATTTTGTACCGGTATTGCTTGCTGTCGTATCAAAACACATTCCCCGAATATGGTCAGAAACACTACATTTATCCAGGAGTTCTGCAACTGCGTTCGCCTGAGCTTGTCCAGTTCCTGATATTAGCTTGGGAACACTCAATAGCTGATCTTTAATGTGTGGTCCAGATCAAATAACAGGAAGGCGCTCCACCATTTCTTTTCCAGACACGTCTTGCAGAAGTTTTTCGTGAAAGGCCCTTGAGCTTGGAAATTATTTTTTATATTTGTAGAGAGGCATTTTGCCTCGCTCTTCGCAGAGATGAGCGACTCAGACTTTGAAGCGTAGCAGTGACTATAAAAGTCGCTTTTCGGTCACTTATATTAGCTCTGTCAAGCGTAGCAGCGAGCTGGGGTGTGATTAGAGATGTGCTTCCAGTGCCACGAACTTTCTTTCGCTTTTGCACCTTTCCCCTTTCAGGCATCTGTTTATTGTAGTTACACGGAATCGAGAAATTATTATCGCTATTATAACTACTGTCTGACCCGAGGTCTGTGCTTGTTCTCAACACGTCACTGACAAACTCACTACTACTATTAGTGTATTTTCGTTGCTCTTCACGTTCACATCTAAGCTGGTATTCCTTCTTCCTCTTTTCAGCTTTACATTCTTTTAGATGTAAAACTTTGTCTCCTCCCATAATGCAGCCACGCCGCTTTTTTTCTCGCTGCGCTATTAAGAAGTTTCGGTCTTCTTCAATTTTAATTAAGGTGAGTGCATCCGCATGGGCTATATCAAATAAATCTTCTAAAGTATCAATAAAATTTTGTTCTTTTTAACGTTGAGTTGCACTTTTTCTTTTAGAGCTCTTTTTTAATAGATTCTAACTTCCGTGAAGTTTTTCTAGCTTTGCTATTGCGTGTTGCTCTTCTCTTATTGGTATACGGGCTTTTGACCAAAATATCTCAACTTCTTTTATAACCGCACGGGAACTATCACGAATAGTCTTTCTTAGCGTTCTGTGATAATAAAAGAACGTACTTAACACTGGTCTATTACACGGAAGCTTACTACCCAAAATTTCACTTTTCTTGGACCCAATTAAGTATATTTTTGTGTTACTTCTAGTTGCTCTTATCATTTTTTAACACTTTTACTGTCACTGTCACTGTAAAAACACAACACCTACTAAAATAGCCATTAATTACTGACTGCGCACGCTGTAAGCATTAAGTACAAATACAAAACGCCCCATCTATAATACTTCCAAAGTGAATGCTCTTGCGCGACCTCTAAATGTTAATGAATTTTATTGAAATTTTGCACAAAGTATTTTTATACACCTTGTCACCCAACGATAGGGTGAGATCAAAACAATTATGATGTTTGTTTTTTTGGACCACCCTTTTATCTTTTAAATCAGGAATGAGGTGTGTCAAAAATAAATGAAATGCAACTGTGTTGTGTTTTAAACAGTTGGAAATGAATACATTGTATTCATTTCCAACTGTTTAAAACACAAAACAGTTGCATTTCATTTATTTTTGACAGACCTCATTCCCGATTTAAAAAATAAAATCCCCAAGCTTTTCAAAATTTTTTACTTTAGTGATGGAAGTGCAGCTCAATATAAGAATAAAAAAAACTTTACTAATTTATCATTACTTAAAAAAGACTTTGGACTTGAAGCAGAGTGGCATTATTTTGCCACTTCACATGGCAAAAGTGCATGTGACGGGTTAGGTGGCACTGTAAAGAGGCTTGCTGCCAGAGCAAGTCTTCAGAGACCTTATGAAGATCAGATTATGATTCCTTTGGAGCTTTTTTACTGGAGCCAAGACAACATTACTGGCATAAATTTTAAATACTGCAACGAAGACCAGTATATAGCCCATGAAAACATTTTATCAAAAAGATTTACAAATATTAAAACAATTAAAGGAACATAAAAATTTTAAGTATAACTCCTATCTTAGAAAGTAAAATTTTAAAGAAATTTTTTTCCTCTAGTTTAAACTTCCAAATCCATTACCTTTTGACATAAGTAAAATTAATTTTTTTAAATAGGAAAATGTTTAGTTAGGATGTTTAACAGGTTATTTGTTGAAAAACAATATGTATAGTATACATTGTATACATGTACGTTAGGGTGTCCCTTATTTTTTTTTTCACGCATACCCCCTAATTATATTTATTACGTGTTTATATACTCCCAAAAAAAAATTTAGCTCATTCTATAAACGGGAACCCGTGCCGACTTGCATCTGAACCCTCCGTTAGCCAACGTCAGGCGCGCGGTATTTTGTAACACGGTTGGTCGCGAGGTCTTCGATCGTAAGTCATTTTGTGTTTGTTATTATGTGACCCTTATATTATAAATTATTGACAAATGTTAAAATATAGTTTTATTTATGTGTATACTTTAATAAAAATGAATATTTTTACAGGAAGAGGCTAGTTACCCGGGTGAATAGGCCGTAAAACTAATTTTTTTATTATATCTGAATGACAATTAAAAAAAACAAAAAAAAACAAAGCACCTAATCCAACCACCCTATTAGAGACGATTATATTTCTTATATGATTATCCTATCGGTAAACTTCTTATTAACAAAAAAATCGCTTAGATAACTAAAAATAATATTGTTTTTTAATCAAAAATAATTAAAAAAAAATAAAAAAAGTAAATGCTACACCTGAGATTGGAACTCACAACCCCCCGATTAAACGACGAATGTTCTCTCTGTATGGCTATTGAACCCTTAGTAAAATTTATGCACACCAAATTTATGAAGTAAGACCATTTGAGTCAAATGGTCTTAATTTATAAGTTTGGTGTTCATAAATGATTTGATAGAGTTTCGGGTAATTAGTTTTAGGGCCTATTTACCCGACACTCCTGGGTAACAAGCCACTTCCTATTTTACATCAAAATATTTTTATAAATATTTTGAAGGGACTAAAAACAAAAACATGTGCATTTTTATACTCTTATTATCACGTGTTCACAGCAATAATAAAATTGCAGATGACAAGTGGCGCGTACCTTGCAATTAGTTATTGTACTTGCAAAATAACACGTATTAAATTGCTTTTGAAAAATGGCAGTCGAACTACAAATGACTAAAGAAGATATTTACTTAGTTGGTGACTTAAAACACCAGATAACAGGTGCAAAATTACCTTCAAAGCGACAAGTCCTGGCAGTTTTGTTTTATAATATACGGGAAGTTAAATTATCAGTGAGTGAAAGTGCAAATCTTGTAATTCGTGAATGTGTAATCTTCTGGGAAAAGGCTAGAATACCAACCCGAGCAGTTCCGAACTGTGTTAAAAAGTTAGTATTTCTTTATCAAGTTTGGCGTGATTTACAAAAAAATTGCAAAAAACCCCAAGAAGTTTACATTAAACGCGAGCAAGATTTTCAAAATGAGTTGGATAATTTATTTGATGTTGCACATGCAGAGGCTTTAAATAAAATTGAAATAGAAGAGGATAGATTATTTTTACAACAACAGAGAGAACCAGGGCGTCCGGGATTTCTGGCTGGTGTAGATAAAAAATTTACTGAAAAAGAAGAGAGATTGCGACAAGAAATTTAGAGTTAGAGTCGTATACTGCTGAATCGGCTTCTTCGCATTATAATTCACCAACTCAATCTGATGCTTCTTGGAGTTCTAATAGTTTTACTGAAAGCTTAGATAGTCGAATTTCGAAAAGGGGCAGACAAAATATTTTTACATCCAAACTAGTAACAACTTTAGATAGATGTCAGTGAAGCATAAGATACTCTGTTTACATAGTTCAGGCTGTAATGGAAGCATTGGATCTTACTATTGATGAATTTGCAATAAATAAATCTCCAATACAACGCATTCGTACGCAGATACGAAAAGAGAGGGCAGAGATGATAAAAAACGACTTTCAGAACAATATTCCGGAAATTGTGACTATCCATTGGGATGGAAAATTGTTGCCAGCTGTAGACGTAAGAAGTTCGAAGGAGGAACGATTGCCGATTGTTATATCGTATGAAAATAAAGAGCAACTTCTTGCTGTGCCAAAATTAGATAGTTCATCAGGTAAAGAGCAAGCTTTGGCCGTTTTCAAAGCCCTTCATGATTGGGACCTTAGTGATAATGTGCAAATCATGAGTTGCGATACAACGGCTTCCAATACAGGCCGTTTCAATGGAGCTTGTACTCTATTAGAACAAAAACTGGAAAAAGAGCTGTTACTTTTCCCCTGTCGTCATCATGTGTACGAACTCGTTCTAAAAAGCGTATTTGAAGCAAAAATTCACCAAGTCGCTAGAAGCCCAGATATTCCGCTTTTTAAAAAGTTTAAAGAAAATTGGAAGAATATTAATCCGCATAACATTCAATTGTGCATTGACTTTGTGAAACAATATTTTATAAACTCTGAAATTGATCAACTTAATGAGTTTTACTCGAAAGAACTAAAAAAGCCTATTGTGAGAGATGACTACCGAGAACTTATTGAGATTTCAATAATATTTTTGGGCGGAGATCAAGAAAAGAAATTAAAAATCAGACCTCCTGGAGCGATGCACCAAGCGAGATGGATGGCAAGGGCCATTTATACTTTGAAAATTTGTTTGCTGCAATCCGAGTTTAAAATCAGTGCTGAAGAAAAGCAAGTCCTCCCGGATGTTTCTTTATTTATTGCGACATCCTACGTCAAACCCTGGCTTCAGTGTACTTTGGCAGCAAAAGCACCAAATCAAGATTTATCCTTTTTGAAATCTTTAAAAAAGTATGAAGCAATTGATAAATCTATTTCAAACGCAGCTCTGACCAAATTTTGCCAGCATCTGTGGTATTTCTGTGACGAAATTGCTATCTTGGCCCTTTTTGACGACGAAGTTGATGACCAAACGAAAACGAAAATGGTATCCAACCTAGAACGTGAAAAAACGTTTGATCTTGGAAAGATATATATTCCATCTAAAGAAGAGATATCAAACACTTTGTATGGTAAGACGTGTTGCACTTAGGTTTTTGTTATATAGTTTTATTAAAAAATACTTATTTTATTTATGATTTAGGCAGATCCCTAGAAGACTTCGTATCAAATAAGAGTAAGAACTTATTTTCACGCCTAAAGATCGACGACAGTTTCCTGAAGGAGAGCGTTTCTTCGTGGAAAGAAAATAAAGTCTATTTAAAAGCTAAAAGTCAAGCTGTATCCTTAAAAGCTGTAAATGACACAGCAGAAAGAGCAGTTAAGCTAATGCAGGACTTTCACGGTTTGTTAACCGCCGATGAAGAGCAGAAACAATTTCTTCTGCGTTGCGTGCAACAGCACAGAAATCTATATCCTAATTGTAAAAAAAACACTTTAAAAAGAAGATATACTTCATGACTGTATTTTTATAATGATTTTATTAAATATAATTACTAATTAATATTATTGCTTTTGTTTCTAACATTTGTTTCACTAATTTAGTTGATTTTATCCCTTAAATATATTAATATACTAATTAGTATTGCTAAAATATACTGTTATATGAAATTTCAGCTTTTTATAAGCATTTCTTTTCTTGATGTCCTCCCAAAAATATTTCAGACAGTTCAATAAGTTTTCGGTAGTCATCTCCCACAATAGACTCTTTTAGTTATTTAGAGTAAAACCCATTAAGTTTATCAATTTAGTTTACGGCCTATTCAATAGACCCTTCCCTGTAACTAGCTACTCCCTGTGAAAATATACATTTTTATCAAAGTATACACATGAATAAAACTATATTTTAACATTTGTCAATAATTTATAATATAAGGGTCACATAATAACAAACACAAAATGACTTACGATCGAAGACCTCGCGACCAACCGTGTTACAAAATACCGCGGGCCTAACGTTGGCTAACGGAGGGTTCAGATGCAAGTCGGCACGGGTTCCGGTTTATAGAATGAGCTGAAATTTTTTTTGGGAGTATATAAACACGTAATAAATATAATTAGGGGGTATGCGTGAAAAAAAAATAAGGGACACCCTAATGTACGTACTTGCAAATACAAAACTCTTTTTTGTATGTTAGTGAGTTTTTTTTAATTTTTTTCACCATGAACCAAACCGCATTATTAACTTAAATAAAGATAAAAAATATTTTAATATGG